CAACCATAAGAGAAAGAGTGATAAATGGAACTTAAAGAACTTCTCCTCATTAAAAAAAACTTACATTGAGAGAGAAAAAAAGGTAAACCATAGAGAGATTTTCTTTTAACAAAATATGAAAAGAACTCCAGGTCAATAAGAAAAAAAAAGAAAATCCAATTTTTAAAAAATAGGTGAAACTCATGAAAAGGTACTTTATGGATGCTATAAGCATTTGCAAAAGTGCTTAAAATCAAATCATCAGTCATCAAGAAAATGCACTGTACTAACTGTCCTCACCAGAATGGCTAAACAAACAAACAACGCAAGAGGAAACCCTGACAGTAAAACAAATCATCAAGTAATGAAGATATAGGGCAAATCAACTTTCATTCACTACCGGTAGGAATGAGCACTGATACAATCACTTTGGAGAAACAGTGGCAGTATCTACGGTAAACTATAGCAGTGACCCAGCAATTCCACTCCGGGGTACAGATACGTCCCCTAAATTAATACCCAGGGGCTACACTTAAGAACGCTCACAGCAGCCTTACTTTATAATAGCTGGAACCAGAACTATCCCAAATGTCTATCCCAAATGTCTATCATCAATTTGCTGTCTACACGCAACAGAATATTACACTACCATGTAAAACAACAAACTACAGCTCCAGGCATAAGTTTTGAACAAAAAGAAGCCAAGCAGAAGAGTACATGAATTCATTTACATGCAGTCAAAAACAAGCAAGACTGTTCTTGGGCAGGATACCAAATGCACAAGCAAAAAATAAATAAACTGAACTCCAGGACCACGTAGGTGGTGTAGTCAGTTATGCCTCTGACTCTTGGTTTTGGCTCAGGTCATGATCTCAGGGTCATGAGATCAGGCCCCACGTCGGGCTCCATGCTGAGTACAGAGTCTGCTTAAGATTCTTCCTCTCCTCCTCCCCCCTGTGCACTCCCTATCTCTCTCCAAATGAATAAATAGATCTTAAAAAGAAAAACAAAAAACAAAAAACAAAAAACTGGACTTCATCCAAATTTAAACCACTGGGCTTCAAAGAACATCATCCTCAAAGTGAAGGTAACCCACAGAATTGGAGAAAATATCTGCAGATCATATGTCTGGGTACGTCAGAAGACATCTGTACCGAGATACAGAAAAAACTCTGACACCTCTCAACAAAAAGACAACACAGTTGAAAAATGGGAAGAAAATGCAAAAATACACCTTTCCAAAGAAGATTATATACAAATGGCCAATAAACATATGGAAAGATGCTCAACATCATTAGCCACTTGGAAAATGCAAATCAAAACCACAGTAGTACTTCACACCCACTAGGATGACCGTACTCCGAAAGACTAACATTAGTAAGTGCTGGGGAGGTTAGGGGTCATACAAATGATACACTGATAGTGGGAATGTAAAATGGTACAGTCATTTTAGACACCAGTTAGGCAATTTGTCAAAAAGTTGAACATAAACTTACCATATGACCCAGTAATCTACTCCCAGGTTTATACTCAAAAGAAATGAAAACAATAATCAGTACACAGATGTTCATAGCAACATAGTCACAATAGTCAGATGGTGGGAACAACCCAAACGTTCACCAACTAATGAATAAAATGTAGCGTGTGTGTGTATGTATGTATATATGTGTGCATATGTGTATATCATATATATATAACATCTATATCTATACATATATCTATATATCCACAGAATGAAACATTATTCAGCCATAAAAAGGAATGAATGCCTGATACAAGCTCCAACACGATGACCTTCAAAAACATGCTCCATGAAAGACAGTTACTAAAGACCATATTCTACACAATTCCATTCATAAGAAATGACCACAACATGTAGTCTACAGAGCTAGAAGTAGATTAGTAGTTGCCTAGGACTGGGGGAGGGAGGACTCAGAAAAATTCGAAGTGACTGCTAATGGGTATGGGATTTCTTTCTGGGGTGATGTAATTGTTCTAAATTTGTGGCATCAAGTGGCACAACTCTGAATATATTAGAAACCGTTAACATATACACTTGAGATCATTAACTGTGTAGTATTGTGATTCATACCTCAACAGAGCTATTAAGAATAAGACTAAACTCTATGATGAGGGTGCCCAGGTGGCTCAGTCGGTTAAACACCTGCTTTCGGTTCAGGTCATGATCCCAGGGTCCTAGTCCTGAGATCAGGTCCCAGATCCCTGGATGCTCAGCAGGAAGTCTGCTTTTCCCTCTGCCCCTCCCCCTGCTCATGCACATGTGCTCTCTCTCCTGCAAAAATAAATCTTTAAAAAAGTAATAAACTCTATGATGATATACATCAGAATGATTTAAGTCACATTTGGGGTGAAAAAATGGGAAGGGATACAATGGAGATTCCCATAGTGCAGGTAATGTTCTGCACCTTGTTCTAGGTAGTCATAGGAATAAATTCACTTGGGAAAAATTCATTAAGCCTGATACCTAAGAGGCATGCACATTATTATATACATGCTATACTTCAAATTTTTTAAAAAAACTTTCCAAAAAATCTCAGAAAATTAAATTAGACATTATCTACTTCCATTCTAGAAATTAGGAATCTAAGGAAATTGAGAGGTTAAAATGACTTGCTAAAGGTATTCTAAGTTAATGACAGAATTAAAGCTTGACTGTTTAATTCCTATTTGTAAACAATGTATACATAAAATTGACAAGCCCTCCTATTCCCCACAAGAGCTTTCATCACACTATCATGCTTACTTCCCCCCCAAGCACTTAAAACATAAAATTATCTTGATTATCTGTTAATTTTATTACTCTCTCTTTCCTCAATAAAATGTAAGCCACATGAGAGCAGGGACCTTATCTGTTCAGCATCGTATCCCCAATGCCTACAATGCCTCGTACACACTAGGTGCTTAATAAGTACACAGGATGCATGAGATCACTACTGGGATTTCACTTTGATATTTGCTAGGACAGTAAGTGAATCCCAGTCTGGCTCTCAAATAAACCTCCAGAGATGGTTTAAAAATGATAAAAGTAAGTGAACTATGGAAATGTAAATGGTAGAATAGTTCTATTTAATGATTCATAACTCATTTCAAATAATAATGACTTCAAAAAAATTCTTAATGAAGTATAGAAAAGTTTCTTCTCAAACAAGAACTTAAAGGTTCTACTAAATATTATGACGTAGATATGACCAGAGTTACTACATTTGAGTGAGAATTCAGCATAAATTACAAGACAATCGTGCAGATTTTAGGACAGCCTGGCAACGCTTTATTATTAGGAAAAAAAAAAAACTCAAGAAACAAATCAGATGTCCTTTGCCATAAGATGACTGATTTGAAATTGTCTTGATAGGGATACTCTACATTCTTTCTTATGTTCTATCTTCCTTATATTCTTTAATGCTTCTTGACTTGAGTAGTTTTCTGTGTGTAAATCATTAATATTTTTATTGTGCACCCTAAATAAATAAGATTGAAAGGTTTAATAGGTAGCTGTTCTCTCAGAAAGATATATGTAAGTTAAAAAACCCTATCACCCAATTTTTTCTTTAAAATATACCAGTATCATAAATTTCCTTAAACTTTTTAAAGAAACACACATTCCATTTTTTTACAGCATTCTGCCTCTAAAAGTATTGCTTATTGTATTCACATGGCATCTACCACACATTACCTCACTTTACATTTTTCTGAATATATCTTATTTCTGCCAACCACACAGACTTCCCTCCCATGCATCCGATTTATTTGTATTCCTAAAATGCAGCACAAAGTAGGCACTTCATAAAGGTCTACTTTAATTGATGAAAAAGGCATCTGGAGTAGTAGAAACGGGATGAAGCTGGAATTCAGAAAACAAGTTCTGCCTTGGTGTTACAGTCTGCAAGCAAGTCTGTTTAATACCTCTGACCTCCGAACTAAGTACTTTTCTAGGTCTTTTCTAGCTCTGGGAAGTGAGGCTTCTAAGGTCAGAATAAAGCCTAGTTTGTTTTCCTATTTCTTCTCTTAGAAATATTATTTCCAATCCCCTTGAAATTAGAATGATCTACCAGTTTGTGGGTTTATAGCAATCTCTAGGACTTCCTCCTCTAGTTACCCATTTGCAAATTATTCTCCCCACCGCTCAAGAGCATCTCCCCATTACGGTAGCCTGATGTAAAGAATGAAAATAACCTTAAATAAGGTTATTATTTAATAAACTTTAAGGTTATTATTCTACTTAGAATAATAAAACTAACGGCTGCTTCTACTAGTTATCAGGAAAGCAGGTATTAATTCTAGTTTTACAAATAGTATATATTTCATATTATATCCCCCCCTCGAACCTCTACTGCTTAAGAAGGAAAAAAAATCTTATTTTGCTCAATACCTTTTTTCTTCTGTTCTTCCTACTATTTGTTGTTTGAAAGCGGCATATCCTAGAGTTATTTACTATAAACCACTCTGGAAACTCAATGTACCCTTTCTATACACTGTAGTATTTTGGTTACACTCTTCATAGGAAGTAGGTTCTGACCAAGCTGTTACCAAAAACCAACCCACTTCTATGTGTTGTGTATTTTTTTACTATACCGAAACGAAATTTAGAGACTGAGTTCCGGAAGAGTTTATTATAGTCAGAATAGCTTAAAATGCCCTTAAGTATTCAGATGCTTTGAAATACTTGCATACCCATAAAGCATCAAATAGAACGGCTTTTGTTTAAATGCTGGCGAGTACTAAACCTGCGTGTTTGTTAATGGAACCCTGAACCGTAAGAGGAATAAAGTAATATCTACAGTCATTTCACATGACAACACCTGTGTGTTTAAGTAAATGAAAGAGAAACTAACACACGAATGCTGCGTGTCCCTTAAACATGTTTACGATGTGATTCCACTAAGGATTAATATGACAATTAAGTGCAATTGCTGTACAGGACAAATGAGATTACCCAGCAGTGAGGAAGTGCCGGACAACGGGGAGCAAGGGTGAACACAACGGCAAAAGGAAGCTGCTACCTTTCTGGGCTTTCACCGTCTGCTCTTCGATTTGCCGCAGCCGCTCCATCAACTCCTCCTTTTCCCGCTCTATCCTTTCCTTCTCCTTTTCTGCTATCTCCCTCTTCTTCTTTTCATTCTCTAGCTGTGCCCTGAAGAGGAATTAGAATTGCTCTGTTACAAGTGAATACACAGAAATACGGACATGAAACCCAAGTACTGTGAATCCACTAAAAAGAAACGTATAACTATTTTAAGAATCTTCATTATATTCAGCTGGGCTTAAAAAAAAACCCATCCAGTTAAAAATACAGGACTGCCCTGTTACATGCACGTACACTGGAATACAGTGCATTTCTTTTTGTGGGGTCACGGAAGATGTAGTCTAGGATTGTTTCAAAAGTTAAAAGGGGCACCTGGTTGGTTCAGCATCTGCCTTCAGGTCAGGTCATGATCTCAGGGTCCTGAGATAGAGCCCCTCGTTGGGCTCCCTGCTCAGAGGGTAGTCTGCTTCTCCCACTCCCTAGGCCCCTCCCCCAACTCGTGCTCTCTCCCTCTTTCTCTCTCAAAATAAACTCTTAAAAAAAAGATAATAAAAACTTAAGACATTTTAGAAATATTTTCAGGTGACAAATTTACAGAACAACTAGCAAAGTAAAACTGTCAAATACACCTCTTGTGTGCAAAGCATGTTTTTGACGCAGACTTGAACGTGGGAAAAAATTAGAGGAGATTTATCACTTGTATACTCGATGAATTCTGACAATAAATCACAGGCCAGCACAAAAGCAGTTAACTGCACATTTCCCACTGAGAGAAGTAAGAAAGGCTTGGAAGGGAGCACACAAGGTAATTTTACTTTAGGCAGTTTAAGTAAAGTAACCTGGGAGGGTAAGAATTTTCAATTGCTAACATGAATTGACACATTATTAATTCCTAAGGTAGTACCAATTTAATCTTATATACAAATGGCAAATCAGTTTTATCTCCTTTGACAACTCCATTAGAATGAGAGTAGATGTCGAACGCTGCTTAAGACAGATCGACCTGAGAGCTCACGGGAAAGACCACCTCCCTCCCTCAGCGGCAGCCGCCAGGGGCCTAAAGAGACTGTTTCTTTTAAATATAGCCAGACTCTCCTCACATAACTACCGAGAGCCTACCACTGGTCAGACTCTATAAAGACTCTATATTTATAAAGAAATATAAAGACGAGTAAGAATTAGATGAAGCACTATCAGGTAATATTATCTATTTCATGAATTTAATCAATATTCAATATTCCCTTTGTTTTAATGGGAATAACTTTCTTTAGCTTAAAAAAATCAGTTATGATTTCATCTCTGATACTCGTCTGAGTACATCTTAATATTCCCCAAAAAAGACATCATTGCCATATGAATTTCAGGCACAAAGACCATGTAGTTTGAGCATAAATAGCATATTAATATACTATGAATTCCCTGGACTAACATGCAGAAAATGTTTTAGGATACCTTACTTTTTAAAGAATATCAGATGAACCCAAATATATTTTTCTTAAGTGAAAATTAAAAGCTAATTTATATTCAGCTTCTAATCAGACTATGCATTAATGATATTAAGAATTATTACACGAGGTACTATTTATTAAACACCAGGTACTTTGCTAACTTTTTAGTGACTTTTCACTTGAGTTCTACAGTGTCCACGATACTGTTTTAAAGCAAAATATTCAGCGGAGCACCCAGGTGGCTCAGGTAGTCGAGTGTCCAACTCTTGATTTCAGCTCAGGTCATAGTGGTGAGATCAAGTCCCACATCAGGCTACACGATCAGCACCAAGTCTTCTTTTCCCACTCCCTCCCCTGCTTGCACATGTGCACACTCTCTCTCTCAACAGATAAAATATTTTTTAAAAAATAAACAAAAATAAGGCAGATTTTTTTATTCAAGCAATTCTTACTCTGAAAAATTTAGTAAAAGTCACAAGCAGAACAAACTTGAAAAATCCCAAACTACTAGGGTATCCAAACCAAGGTCAATCAGTGAAAAGCAAGCATGTTTAAAAGATAAAGCACATCTATGAATTCATAAAAAGCTACTTTCTCAGAAATACCAAAGATTTCCAATTTGAAAAGTATACATACTCATTCTAAGAGTATAAGCATAACACTCAATTTTAATACAATGAAAACAATGTAAAACTGTAAACTCAGAGTATGTTAAAGAAACAGCATTCTTTAAATGAAACAAGATGGGATCGGGAGGGAGACAAACCATAAGAGACTCTAAATCTCACAAAACAAACTGAGGGTTGCCGGGAGGAGGGGGATAGGGAGAGGGTGGTGGGGTTATGGACATTGGGGAGGGTGTGTGCTATGGCGAGTGCTGTGAAGTGTGTAAGCCTGATGATTCACAGACCTGTACCCCTGGGGCTAATAATACATTATATGCTAATTTAAAAAGAAAAATAAATTTTAAAAAATAAAAAATAAATAATAAAAATGTGATCAAAAAAACAAAAAGAAACAGCTTTCTTAAATTTTAAACCACCTACTCAATTAAGAATCAAAACCTTAAATTCCATACCTTTCCAACTGCTTCTGATGTTTCTCCTCCCTCGCCTGAGCCTTCATCTGCTGCACTTCAATGGTATCAGGCTTTCTTCTTCGCATGTATAGTTCATGGTTTCCCATACATAAAGCCAAAATCCGTTTATTGATTCTCAGACGAGGAGCATAAAAAACAAAATCCTAAACATAAAGTTTCTGAATTTAAAATCTTCCTGAAGGACAGCCCCTCTCACAATAATCTCTACTAAATTTCAATATGGGGTATGAATTCAAATGTCATATTACATAGTTTAGAAGTCACAGAATTTCCTAATTCCTAGTAAGTATGCCATATTTGCACATACCTGTAAAGGCTACCAACAAACAAGTGTTTTCAACCGCTTCTTAGGAATGGTGATTATTTTCAATCACCTCCTAATAAACATCACTCACCTTACAGCTGAATCTCAATTAAAATAAAACTAATATTCACATGTTATAAAAAGCTCAAAACCTTCTACTTTTAATAATTCATTATTTTAACAGCAGGAAAGTTAAACTATGAAAAGGGAATGTTTCTCAGGAACAAATCAATAAACGAACAATGCCACTCTTCAAATGGTATCATAGCAAAATGGTGGAAATTTAAAAAAAGTTAATACAGAAAACACTTATAACAGAATTTTACTTACAGGTGCCTTTTTGTCAATTGGCTTTATAACAAATTTTTTGTCATTAAATGAAATATTTCTGATTTCACTCCAGGGAAAACCAATTTTTGGTGTTAACCTTAAAAAAATGAAAGCATTCCTTTAATTAAAAGCAGAAAACAAAACACAAAACGTGTAACATTTTGGAGCCAAATTAGCTAAATGACCAGTCTTAAGAAAGCTAGATTTTCAAATGCATCAGCTTACTGATACTATTGACATTATTATCTTTTAAGGGGAAATTTGATCAATTAAGCCACATAAAACAGAATAACTATCAAAAAATTTCATGATGTGTCATGAGCCTTGAAAGCATTACATTTACTTTCTTAAAATTACCTAGAAAACACTAGCAACCTAGAGTGTAGAACTGAACTTCCCTTGGGGCCCTGTACTAGCTCTTCTTAGATTCAAGCTACTACAAATATTAGTTTAAATGTGTTTAAGAAGGGAGAGGGAGGAAAAGTCTTGATAAGTTTTCATGTGAATTATGGACATGTTACTAAATACTAAATTTATTTCCTTCCTCTGTTTAGCTTAAAAATGAGTATTTGTAACATTAAAAGCACTAATTTTATGGTATGTGAGTTCTATCTCAACAGAAAAAAATTAAGACATTCACATACACAAATGTTTGGATAAATGGAAGGGCTGGATTTCCAACTCTAAGAAATATAAGTTACCACCACTTTGCCACACTGCACACAAAAATTCAAGGAATCAGACTGGAACAGTAATTTTGTTTTTGTTTTTCATGAATTTTACTGTTTCAGACTACCCATCAAATGTGTCACTGTTATCCAATAACCAGTGTGCAAAATGATTATGATACCCATGCTAGCCAAAAGGTGTCTTTCTAGTCAGTCTTCCGAGAACAAAGTATGAATTTCTACCTATTAATAGTCCTTTTAAGTCTTAAGGAGATTACCAATTGCAGCACACCAAGTAATTTTTCTACATACAGCGTTCTTTACTCAAAAGTTATGCATTATACTGCCCCCTAATGGCTCTTCAACTGTCATTGTTACCAGCTTAAAAAGGAGCCTGCCGGAACATAGCATTTTTAAGGTAATGCTGTACTACATTTACATGTTACTTTGAAAAATTCTAAAGCAATTTCCTCATGTAATTCTCACAACAATCTTGTAAAGTAAGCTTGGCAGTTATATGAATTTCAGAGGGTTAATAACTTGACCAGGATCACAAAGGCAATTAGTAGCAGAGCTGGTAAAAGAACTTAAGCTTTTAAAGCTGTACCCTACTTTTTTTTTTTTAATCTTTTGGAAATATAATAGATTTTAATTATTTTTAAAAAGTGAACCAGTAGAGATAAGACCAATCTCCCGTATCAGTCCCTCCCATTCTGAGCTAATCCCCTCTCTTTCATATTCCCCATCTTTATCTGTAATGTATCTATAATGCGTACTCTGATAGAAATTCAATAATTTTTAAAAGAAAGTAAAAAAAGGATTTGGTCCACAAAATAGTCTCTAAGTCCTTTTTGCTTTTCAAAAATTTCAAAATATTTTCTTCTTAATGATATAGTGTTGTTAACTTGCTTTGTAAATAAAAAATACACAGCAGAGTAAAATAATTAAAATGCTCTCTTTTGGACTTAGTATATAGTGTTAGAAAAGTGTATCTTATTAGATACTTGTAATAATGAAACTAAAATTCTAGAATTTTAGAATAAAGAGAAATGCCTTAGAAGAAGGCATTACTGGCATAGCAAATAAAGTATAAAGCATTCCTAAAGTACTGTGAAAAGTCTGACATATTCTATATTAATATATTAATATAAAAATTAACACCTGGTTAATTTTGAAACAAAATAACACCGTCCATTATTCTCAATACAGTGATATTCTACTTTACTGATGTCTGAAAATATTGAAAACAATTCCTATAAATGTCTTTAAAAAGTTACAAATATAATAAATCATATATCTATTAATTTCATTGTCTCATTGCTCTCTATTTCTTAAACATGTTAATTTCAATTTCACCTTAAATGCCAGGTATATTTAAGGAATCATTCTTCACCTATAAAGGGAACAAGTTTCAATTAAATTACCAGACAGAACTCACAAGATACCAAATAAAAGTGAATCATTCTGTCTAATAAATATGCTGAGCGTAACAGCTACAAGGTGTTGCAAAAATGTAGACATGACATCTAAAAATCTTTGTCGCATTAACTAATCTTTTAAGTAGGGAGAAAAAAGCAGCAAGAGTAATCAAGCAAAAAAAGAACTTTACAAACACAGCATTAAGATTAAAGCCATACAGATCACTGATTAATGACCAGTTCACTGTGCAACTAAATTTACTCACTTGTCATCGTGCTCATAAATATTCAGACCCAAAGCATCAACGCCTAGCCACAATTCAGTTCCCTTTTTATTTTTTATTTCAAAATAGTTGACTCCATACATTTCTAGATCTTGGGCAATCTTCAGGTACTCCATCATAGAATCTTCCCTGTTAAAAGAAAGCTTAATGTAACATACTTAAGTAAAAGTAATACCAAACAAATTACAAAAATACTTTGGATTAAAATTTAGTGCTTTATATTTATTCATATAAAGTGAATGATCTTTGGGGGATAATGTGATGTACTAATAAGTGTTATGATATAAAAATACTTGAAGGAAAATCACTAAGAAAATAGCCACCCAAGTACCTCAGCATTCCTCTGTGTTCTTCATGCCAGTTCTGTATTCTTTCTTCCCACTGTTCTTTTGTCAGTTTGTGCTGTTCCAAAACACTGCAAGAAAAAAAAAATGAAAATGTTTCTATGATTCAAAATTAATATTCATTTAAAAGTACAAAACCATTCAGTATCTTAACTGTAATGGCTGTCATAAAAACCTATATACACGATAAAACTGCATAGAACCATAAACACATATACATACACAAATGACTGCATATAAAACCGATGCAATCTGAATCAGGTTGGTGGACTCTATCAATATCTTGGTTGTGATACAGTACTAGTTATACAAGATGTTACCATTAGGGAAGGCTGGGAGAAGGATACATAGAATCCCTCTATTTTTTACAATTGCATGTGAATCCATAATTATCTCAACAAGTTTCTAGGATCCTGAGATTATTTTAAAGATTACGTTTTTAAGACAGTTATACAGATAGTTTATGGGAATTAAACTGTTTCAAGCAAATAAGCCACTGAACCGAAAAAAGGAAAATGACTTTCTTCATTATTATTAATAGAAAAAATTAGAGAAGAGAGTGAAAATCAAAATTCTGGAGCCTTAATTTCTTCTTTTACTCCACATATTTACTTTTCTTGGTGTCAAATTTAATTTTCTTATTTTCTAAAAGCAATATATTTTTTAAAGATTTTATTTATTTATTTGACACAGAGAGAGCGGTCACAAGTGGGCAGAGAGGCAGGCAGAGAGAGAGAGGAAGGGAAGCAGGCTCCCCGCTGAGCAGAGAGACTGATGCAGGGCTCAATCCCAGGACCCGGAGATCATGACCTGAGCCAAAGGCAGAGGCTTAACCCAGGCACCCCTCTACAGGCAATATTTTATATAAAATTATACAAGTGGGGGGGCGCTTGGATGGCCCAGTGGGTTAAAGCCTCTGCCTTCAGCTCAGGTCATGATCCCAGGGTCCTGGGATCGAGCTCCACATCGGGCTCTCTGCTCCGTGGGGAGCCTGCTTCCTCTTCTCTATCTCTGCCTGCCTCTCTGCCTACTTGTGATCTCTGTCAAATAAATAAATAAAATCTTTAAAAAAATTAATTAAAAAAAATTAAAAAATTAATAAAATAATACAAAAAGTATTATGTGTATTAAGTGTAACAAAAAGTTACACTTTTTACCACCCCATGTCCTCCAAATAATCTTTTATTGGTTTCTCTTTTATCCTCCCAGTGATCCTTATGCAAATGTAACCAAACATATTTTCTCTACTATTGATATTTTAACATCAAATCAGCAAATTCAACATACACACAATTTACCTGCTCTACACACTACAGATTATTTACTTGTTCTCTTTGGGTCATATAATGATTATTACATATTTTGCTTTGTTGTTCAAACCTCAGATCCTACATTACTACTAACAAAAGCTGTGGCATTAAAATATTATTGCTTATGGGGCACTTAGATGGCTCAGTTGGTTAAATGTCTGCTTTCAGCTCAGGTCACAATCCCAGAGTCCTCGGATCAAGCCCCACGTCCGGTCCCCTGCTCAGTGGGGAGCCTGCTTCTCCCTCTCCTTCCTGATCGTGTACTCTCTCGTTATTTCTCTCTCAAATAAAATCTTTTAAAAAAAGTATTACTGTTTAGCTGTATAAAAATTCTACATGAAACCTAGGAATGTCTTGGTAGTATAAAGGAATCTCAGAATGTAATCTTTCCTTGCACAAGTTACTATTTAGAATAGATTCCTTAATGAGGTCTCAGACACATTATTACGTTCTTACTATGCCCTGCTCCTTTCTCAGTATATCCTCTTTTAAGCTCTTGGGTTTTTTGGGAGAGGAGTTCTGTCTTCCCCTTATATGACTTAGGTTTCCACATTTTTCTTATTTTTATACTTTTTGCTGCCTGGCCTTGGCAGCTCACCAAAAGGAATGCAATCAGCCTTGCGGGCATAATGAGTGCAGCCAATTGCTGGTACCATGACATTAACTAAATCTGAAGGTATGGATTAATTAAAGTGGATGACACTAAGATTTATGTAAGTTCTAGCTTTTTACATCCTGCATTTCAAATCTCATTTGTTTGCATTTTACATAGTGTACTTGTACTATTAATCTGCATTACTTGTTTGGAAGTATTCAAAAATGCCTACCCTCTCTTTCTTCTGTCCAGAAAAGAGTCCTTCTTCATGGCTAAGGCCAATCCATTCTACTTGGCTTTAAATCTGTCTATCTGCACCTTTAAAGGGCTCCTCCCCTCACTTTCTCAGGATCTACACTCCATCACTGATGACGGGGACATATTCACTGTCCCTTGCATACATGTATATATTATCATATCTACTACTCTGTGTTACAGAGAGCAAAAGACCACATCCATATTGCTCACCACTATATGCCCAGTGCCAGTACTGAAGAGGTACTCAAATATTTGCAAAGAGAATAAAGGATTAAGTCAGTTCTTTCCCATTTTTAAAGAACACATCTATGAACTCATGGTTCCCTAGGTTTTTTTGGTTTTGTTTTTTCCTTTTTCACAGCCAAACCTCTTTCAAGAGCTATCCATATTCACTATCTTTCATTTCCAAAGCTCACATCGACCGCCTCTAGTCCACCACAATCTGGCTGCAACCAGCACCACCACGCTGAAGCTGCTTTCACTAAGGTCACTGCCAATCCCCTTACTGTTAAACCAACAGACACACTACTCCCTCAGACTCAAACCTTTTTGTTACTATTTGACGCTGCTGATCAGTCTCTCCTTAAAGCTTCCTTGCACTCTGGCTTCCATGATTAACAGTCCTCTGGTATTATTCTTCACTCTCTGGCCATTTTTTCTCAATTTGCTTTACAAGAGCCTCTTCCCCTGTACTTAAAAATTAAGTTCCAACAAAATCTGTCCTGGGCCCTTTGCCCATTCTATATGTACTTTCAGGTCCATCTCTTTCATTTCCATAGGATAATTATGTATTTGCTGCTTATTCCCAAAACTGTATCTACAGTTCAGACTGCTCCAGGCCTACCAATGAATACTGGCTATCTTCCTTGGTTATGCTGCAGGGGTTTCCAACCCAACGGATTCAAAACTGAAATCTTCTCCAAAACGTATCCCTTCTTCCCTTATCTTGGAAAAAGGTAAACTACCAGCTACCTATATGCCCAAGTGAGAAGCCTGGCACATAAAAACTCGTGTCTATCTAGCTCTTTCCCAAGGAGAGAGCAATGTATCTGGTGGAACTGACAACGTACACCACCAGACAGGACAGCTAAATGTACTGTGGGAGAACAGACTGCTTATCCGGACTATAATAATTTTTTTTCCTCTACAAGAATTAAAAGCATCCATCAAAATCATCAAATTGTGTGTCATTTATGATCACCAAATAACCTGATTACTAATTCCATGCTCAGGTACTTAAGATCGTGAGAAAAAGTATGCTATACCACATACACAGAATAAGTAAATCACTGTGAAGGTATTTCCTCCATTCTAAATATAAAAATTAGTATTCTGATTTTATGAGTAAGCTTACGAGTAAGCTTAGATAGCCTGAAATAGTTCTCCAAAGACTACCAATTTGAAGAACACCTATCTCGATCTTCAAAATTAAAGACTAAATCTTAAAGAGCGTGTGCTATCTTTCTTATTTTTAAACAAAGTGGGTTATAGCACACATGCATTTAAATTAAAGAAATTTAATTGCGGGGGCACCTGGGTGGCTCAGTGGGTTAAGCCTCTGCCTTTGGCTCAGGTCATGATCTCAGGGTTCTGGGATCAAGCCCCGCATTGGGCTCTCTGCTCAGCGGCGAGCCTGCTTCCTCCTCTCTCTTTGCCTGCCCCTCTACCTACTTGTGATCTCTATCTGTCAAATAAATAAATAAATAAATAATTTTTTTAAAAAAAAAGAAAAAAATTTAATTGTGCTTAAGTGTGATACCAGTATTTAAAGTATTTTTAAAAATCACATAACTACTAAAAGTAAGCCAATTACTTCATGCTCAACCAAACAGCAATCTAATCTCACATTCAAAGAACCACCATCTGTGTTACACCTGAGACAAAACATGCCTATTCTTTTATGAACAATTAGGAAATTTCAAGGGCAATTTTGATTATATATAATACTTACCTTATATGCTGATTTAAAACCTAACCTGCTGTGCCTTTACTAAACATAAGTTATATCTCAATTTTGGTACAGAGCTATGGACTGTACTGTACACTTGAAACTAATGTAACATTGTGTGCCAATTATACTTTAATGAAAAATGAAAATATATAAAAAAATTAAACCTCAAGTAAGATAAAAACTAACCCTTATCTGAAATGAAAGTCTACTGTGCCAGTAACCAGCTATTTAATTCAATGCTTAAAAAAAATCTGAGACCAAGAGCTTGGAGTTGGAATAATAATCAAAACTAAACATAGAGGCTAACAGGTGTCTCATATTCCTGATTCTTTGGTGAACAGTATGCATTATTTTACCTTCCAAGAAAACTATTATTGCAACAGCATTACAGTGTAACAGTAATAAACAGTGTAACATTTAATCATCAAATATTAAAGCTACTGTGCTTAATGATACCTTATAAAGCATATATTAACTCAACTTACTCCACAAAAATAAACATTAATGCCCACAACCAAACAGAATAAAAGTGGACATGAAGTAGTCTCCCTTTTCCATATTTATGACCTATGAAAAAGAAACTACCATCTAACAGCTTAAATACTGTAAGTACTGAAACTGTGAAATTTTAGGTTAATAATACACAATCTTGCATTTAAACAGAAATTTTAAAATTCAGGCGTTCGGACTAAGAGTAACACTTTCTTTCCAGGTTCTAAAAAGATCTCCATGTACATTCTAGTGTGCAATTCTAATTATGAACTGAGATATTTTAAAGTAACATTTGATGCTGTACTTCTCAGATCTCATAAATACTACTACCAACCAACACTTGTACCACACTTTATAGTTAAAACTATAAACCAAACAGTTCTTGTTCTATAGTCATAAGCCATGAGGTAGAAGAGCAGGATTACTATCCCCACTTTGCATACTCAGATACAGAGGCTGAGATTTCAGATTATGCACGTAAGGTCACCTAAGTAGTAAAGGGCAGAACTAACATTCAAACTCTAGGTCTTCTGCCTAATGATTTCTTCCTATGCCATGCTATTTTAAAGTAACGATTATAGAAGCAGCAATATACTGCACATGAGGACAGAGCACTAGACTAGGAGTCTGAAAACTGAGTTTAGAACACCTTTCACAGGATGCCTGGTTGGTTCAGTTGGAGGAACATGAGACTCTTGATCTCAGCGCTGTGAATTTGAGCCCCATGTTGGGTGTAGAGACTACTTAATTAAACATTAAAAACAAAACAAAAACAAACTTTTAAAAAGTTAGAAACGGAATTCTAATTCTACAGAGGAAATAGAGCATGGCACTTATCCTGTCTGACTTTTTTTCCCCCCTTCCTCCTCCAGCTTTATTGGATAGTTTAAAATTACATTTATGGGGGCACCTGAGTGGCTCAGTGGGTTAGCCTCTGCCTTCGGCTCAGGTCATGATCTCAGTCAGGGTCCTGGGATCGAGTCCCACATGGGGCTCCTTGCTCAGCAGGGAGTCTGCTTCCCCCTCCTCCCCGCCTGCTTGTGATTTCTGTCTGTCAAATAAATAAATAAAATCTTTTAAAAAAAAATTACATTTCTGTTTTCTAGGACTTCAGTTGCTTTTTTTTCATCTGACTTTTTATTTTTCCCAAGCATGGCACTTCTTACTCACAAAGCATTTATGAACCACCTATCTGCCTGTTTTAGTGAGAATTTTTATCAAGCAACAATAGTCACATCCTCCCCCAAACCCAAATTACCACTACCTCCATTTATCGCTTATCCGTGGAAATGAGGAGAAGAGGTAGAAACTTTGAGTAATTACAGCATATATAAATCTATGCAGCTACAGGTCATGACTTCTAAAAGAATATACTCTAACAATTAAAAAAACTGTCTTAATCTATTTATAAATTTCTTTTTCAGACAATTTAACGTAAAAAACATATTTCACTTACCGCTGGGGTAGGAGTCTATCATTAGCCAGGTAGCCTGGTTTATGCATCTCTTTATTATAATCTCCATACTTGGCTTGGACAGCATAGGAAGCCAAAAGAACTGCAGTTTCTGGTGGACAATATATCTCATCATTTAAGATAGCTTCCTTAACTTGCAAGAAGAAAAGTCTCTGGGTTATTTCTTGAATTAATTCCTCAGAAACATCTTCAGGAAAGAATTTAGCTCTAAATTTGAACTGTAAAGGATTCTCTTTTTTAACATCTTGCTGTGTCACCTGAAACAGTAATTTCAAGCATAATCGACAAAAATCCTAAATTCACATCAAATTCTTTTTTAGAAGAAAGTAGCATGTAAAACCCAAATAAGATTCTAAATCCATAACTAAGACTCTAGTGTGTAAGATTCTAAACTTATTGGATATGTGAAAAAAAAAAGATTCTATGCACTAACGAATGTGATCTGTAACTCATAGGTCCTGTCTAATAACCAAGTTGAAACTTCCCTTAAGTTTATCCTGTAATGTTTGAGCCAGTCAAAGTACTCAGTTACCCTAATATTTCTTATGTGCTAAGTTTTCAAACAGGAAAAGTGAATGAACATTTCTTTTCTCTAAGATGAGTTAACGGTAACTTACTGAATTAAAAGACATGAAACGTTTAATAATTGAGATAATTGTAAAAGGAGATCTGACTGAATTCAGTCAGACGCTGAGCTTTTCTAGTACAAATTCATGATCATAGTAACTTCAGAGTAATTTAATTATCAGCTGAATTTTATATGTATTTTACCTTTTTATTTAGCTTAAGCCATGTAGAGTAACCTTTGCTGTCCACATACTGCAGCCCAAAAAACCAAACTTCACGCAAACCAACTGTTTTCACCACCTTAAAAAAAAAGTTCAATTTCAGGTCAACATTCACAGTGAAAGTAAATGGTACTATATTTCAAAAGAAAAACAAAACTACAAAGATATTATAGGTATATTTCTTTACTATAGAGATCTTTCTTAAATTTAATACATTAATTACAGGGATGTTTCTAAAAACTTAAATTCAGGTTTTGGATATATTGTATCTTGTAGTGTCATTTCAATCTTGTTTGACCTATGCTTTTTAAATCCCACTTTTTCTTCCTCATCTCCCATCATGACCCCAACAGATAACAAGTCTGGGAAGCAGATACAAAGCTGTCATAATCTCACGTTCCTATTTCAGTGTACCCCCCACAACTACACAACTGGGTAGGCAAGGCAAATAGTATCAGTTTGGTGATAAGAGTCTCTGAGGACATTTAAAAGCCATACCAGGTTATCCAACTGGTGATTTCACACCTACTTCTACCCTTCACTATCAAATATTCTGTTCTTCCCCACTGAGCAAGAACCCATTCTTGGAACATGCCCAAATTTTATCTTTACAGCTCTGCTCATGCCTTTTCTTCTGCCTAGAATGTTTCTTCTGTATTTTTACCACCCACTGAATAATTTATTCCTCAAGCCCCAGTTCAACTAACATGCTGTCTGTGAATGAAGCTATCCTATTATATAGATAAAATTAATCACTCGTTCCTTGATGTTCCCATAGTATTCTATCTATACTATTAGAACATTTACTCTATCATAAGTAACTGTATGATTATTATTTTACCATCCTTCACTGCTTAAAACTAAGAACAGAGATTACTGCCTTAGTCATCTTAATCATGCCCTTTTAAAGAACGATTAGCCTGTGGCAGGCACTTGAAAGAATAAATAAATAAAGCTAGGACCCACCCAAGAATGTACCAGCACTTGGAAAGCTTATTTTTTTCTAGATCTATATTAAAACAAAATGAGGGAAGTGAGCCAGGAGAGGTGAGAATTTATTAATATTTTTAAAGCTTTACATAAAGATTCAACATTAGTTTTTTTTTAAATAAAGTTAAGATTTTATTACTTATTTATTTTTAAAGATTTATTTATTTGAGAGAGAGAGATAGAGTGAAAGAGGGAACACAAGCAGGGGGAGCGGGAGAGGGAGAAGCAAGCTTCCCGCTGAGCAGGGAGCCTGATGTGGGGCTCAATCCCAGGACTCTGGGATCATGAAGTGAGCTGAAGGCAGAGGCTTAAGGACTGAGCCACTCAGGTGCCCCTATTTATTTACTTTAGAGAGAGAATGAGGGAGCAAGTGAGGAGGGGGTGGGGGGAGAATCTCAAGCAGACTCTGCACTGAGCCCCAATGAGGGGCTCTATCTCACCACCCTGAGATCATGACCTGAGCTGAAACCAAGAGATGGACAATTAACCGACTGAGCCCCCCAGGTGCCCCCTCAACATTAGTTTTAAAGTGATATTCTTGGCTTTTTTTTTTTTTTTAATATCTAAGAAAACGTATCAGGCGTTTGATTTCAAGATAGCATACTGAACCTTTCAGAAAGTTTATTTTCCTTCTCTTGAAAAATTTCACTGAAATTACACACGCCAAAAAAATTAAGAATAAAAAAACATTCAGCTGTGCTAGGAAAAGTTACCACCAAAAAAAACAAAAACTGAGAAATTTCTGGATGATACATCATCAGGACTCCCAAGTGATACAAAAACTGATCAAAACCAAACCACCAAACCCTTAATGTAGACAAAGAAGATCCCAAATAATTTAAGTTTGGCAAAAGACAGGCTGTCTCAGCAGAAGAGCCACAGAAAAGATTCCAGCTCAGAGTGGCAGAGTAGGAAATTTTCATAGGTCAGGAGCAACTGAGAGAAGTGTCAAAGTAGCTAGCCTGTTTTTGCCTCTAGGTTGCGTGTGATTCACGATGTTGGTGAACTAAAGGTGGGATCTGCCATAGTGGGCACACGGGACAGTACCCTAACTAGCTTGAGACCATCACAACAAACACCAGGAACAAGAGAGCTCAGCTGTGAATTTCTTTCCCTACTACTTCTGGCAACGTTCTCAGAAACTTTCAATCACATATTTTTATAAATAAAAAAATACTTGGGCATTAATGACAATATATGTATATTTACCTATAAATTACACACATGCTATATCACACATACATTGCAAAGCACTTACTTTTAAAGTAACTTTAAAAAGGAAAGATAAAAATATAAACAAACATTTTAATTTTTTAATTGCATCCTTTTTTTAAAGATTTTTTTTTTAATTTATTGGAGAGAACAAGAACACGCAGAGAGAGAGAGAGAGAGAGAGCGAGCGCACAGGAGCAGCGGGAGGGGCAAAGAGAGAGGGAGAGCAGGTTCTCTGAGTAGGGAGCTGGATGCGGGACTCAGTCCGAGGACTCAGGGATCATGACCTGAGCTGAAGACAGATGCTTAACTGACTGAGCCACCCAGGAGTCCCTTTTTCTTGCAACCTAACAGATCGTGTTGAATACTTCTCAGGGGCAAGAATACTCTCTAATCCCACAGGTGGAAGCTGGAAGAGGATGACAGTGTAGAAGAATCAGGGAGCAAACCAAAGGACCTCCAGCACTCAAACAGAGCCCCCTACACACAGCAGCTGGCCTCAAGCGCATCGTGATCAGAAGTGAGGCTTTGCTACAGGTGGACTCATGTTGCTATGTACCCTCATTTGAGAGGACTCCTGTCTCTAGTCTGCTCCTGGCCTTAACCCTGAACCTACCTCCCTGCCAACACACTCCACATACTCCCTATACCCAAGGTAAAGCCTGCTTCTAGATCCTTTGATTTGGGCTCAAGAGAAGCTGTCAGGGAACAACAGTGACTTTAAGAATTAACTGCCCAGAGAGCACATTACAGATAATACTACTCCCTAATCTAGAACTTCATTTACATTATGAAATGCTGTGTGTGTGCATCAAATTCTGTCCTCTGTACTTAACATGGATTCTCATTTAGTTCTCCCAACAACCCTCTAAAGGAAGAATACGATAATGATCCTAACCGTACAGGTGAAAAAAATAAGGCAAAGAGTAATTTGTCCCAAGTCAAACAGCTAGAGCGGGGACTCCGATGCAGGCAGTGTGGCTCTAGAACCCACACTTTTAAACTACTACACAGTACTGCACTGTAATAAATGAGGCTTCCTTTCTCCTGGTGTCTAAACTAAAGCAATTCTACTTGATAAAAAGCAAGTAATTTATTTCTCAGTTCACAATACCCAAGAAGCCCACTTGCTGATTAGTTTTTGACCATCAAAAACATTTCACTCACTAAAAATAAGATTTCAATTTGTTAAGAAGTAAGTACAATGAATGCTAACTCCATTCACATTTATATTCAAGTAAGATAGATGATATATTTACAAACAGGAAGCCTAGAGAAATCAACAGAACTAGCTCACAGTTCACAAGGTAAAGTATGTACAAGGTGTGCATGTAGCTGCTTATGATTTTAAGAATTTGCTCACTCTACCAAAACCCTTTCATCTTATAAAAAGACCTTATCAGGGCTTTCAAGATCATCAATTAACTTATCAGGAAGACTAACTATGCCATTTTGTCTAGAAAAGAAACAACTTTCCAGGAATTTTAAAATTGGGTATATTTTAGATCTATGTGAGATACCTAAATAAACCCAAAATATCTACTAGGTAATTTACTGCTGTGTACTCGAAACTCTGCCTCCTGTTCTATTCTCTAAGGTCAAGGAGGTCTGACCAGACTCCTTACTCTTCTGCCCAAATCCTCCCCTGAGTCTCACCCCCAGATCACCTTCATTCCACTTGTAATCATGAAGTCACCTTCCTAATCACTTGGCCTCAGGGCACTAATCTCTCTCCTTCCTTTCTCAATAAAATGTCACCTACAACATTACTTACTGCATCACCTGCGGAACTTAAATAAACAAATAAGATATTAATGATTTCCAGTAGGACCCAGAGAATTTGACATCAGAGTATCTGGATGTAGTCTGCAAGCAATGCCCTTATTCTCTTTCTAAGGCCCCACAGCTGACTCAAATGTGCTCTCAAGAGTGAGAAAAAACACCAGTAGTCCAAATTCCTCAACATGACACCCATGTTAGCTTATCATGAGGCTATGACATGGAACTGCTGTCAGGTGCCTACTTGTAGACTATAATTCCCTGGGCCTTTGCTCCTGCCATCCCCTCTATCTAAGATCTCCACCCATCCCGCTAGAGACACTATCTTTTCATTTCTTTGAGTCCTCATCACAGCGCTTTACTTAGAGGATGTTAAAGAAATATCTGCTCATAATTACCTTTAAAAAGTCCTTTCTTTCCAATCTAGAAATGAGAAAGAATAGCTCTATAGCTATTCCAGATAACTGAAAAGATACCATGAAAAATTCCAAGTGCGACACTGTTGCAACAGCAGTAAAGTTACAGGAAAACATACAAAGAAGTTGCAACAGCTTCCATATTGTATGCTGTCAAAAGCTGCATACTTCATGTGGCTAAATGATACCTGGTCGAAAAGCTGTTTGCCCGTGGTATTGGGCTGGATGGCAAATTCCAGCTCGGCATCCATGGTGGTCACTCGTACGTTGATCTGCAATAAAAACAGAAGGGAAAATCACTAGGAAAGAAAATGTACTTAATGGCAATATTTTTATCTGATTTATAAAATAAAGTAAATATGCAGGCAATGAAAAGCTACACCATATTTGTACCTAAGATTTTCTTCATTAAAGTGATGTTTGATTTTAATCACAGGAAATCTTAAATCTATTTTAAAAAGAAAGAGCTTACAAAGTCCTCTTTTAAAAACATTTATTGAATACTTGGCATACACTAGGCACTTGGCCATGAGCTTTCCATGTTTTCATTAAGCCCCTGTGACAATACTAGGAAATATGTCATGTCTACAGAAACTAAAAGAGTTCCCCACTACTTGACCAAGGGCACAGGGATATCAAACAGCAGAGCAGGTATTTCAGGAGAAACATTAACTACAAATTCTGTGAATGGCATTCACTATTCCATATTTTTCAACACAAAATTCAGATACTCAGTTTTATCCTATTGCAAAAATATTCATTTTATAAAAAGAATTCATCAATTGACCTATATTTGTTAGATTCTATTTTAAATTCTTTTTTTTTTTTCTATAAATACCTTTGTAGCTGGACATTTCACCAAAAACTTGGCATGCCTTAACTAAAATAATTTTAACTCTGGAGTAGCATCTTCACTTAGAATTCACCATCATTTGTTACAAATCAATCTTCTTAACTTTAATTCACATGAATTCTAAATCTGACTTATTTCTCCTATTTTCTTACTCATTATAACAACCATGGCTCTGCACATGTAGCTTTTATCTGAAATACAATCTCTAATCAAACAAGTCTTAGAAATCACAAAACCTTTTGTGATATAATAAATATATATTTGGTCTTCATTCTGTCTCCTGGCAGAGAGCTCCTAAAACCTTTAGAATTTCCTCCGTGATAGAAATAAGTAGAGCCTTTTGTTACTCATAATAATCCCCTTTCAACCATACCTCAGTTTACACTAATAACTCCTAATGACTCATGATGGACCCCTCCGGACCTTCAGGATGGAGGTAGGTAGCCAGAAGAACCAACCATGTGATGAGAGCCCCACCCTAACCTCCAAAGAGAGGAGAAGGGGAAGCGAGTTAATCATCAACGGCCAAGAGTTTAATCCATCATGCCTACATAACGGAAACTTCATAAAAAGCCTAAACAAAGGAGTTCATAGAGAGCTTCCAAGGTGGTGAATGCATCCACGTTCAAAGAGAAGGGTGGACTGCAAATTCTACAAGGACAGAAGCTCCTGTGCTCAGGACCTTTCTGGACCTTGCCCTATGTACCTCCTCTTTGTCTTTATCTTTCATTCATACCCTTGTAATATCCCTTGTATTAACCAGTAACAGCAAGTGTTTTCCTGAGTTCCATGAGCTGTTACAGTACCTGAGGAGGGGATCATGGAAATCTCCAATGTGTAGTCAAGTTAGAAATGTGGGTAACATGGGGACCCACTACTTGTGATTGGTGTTTGAAGGGGACAGCGGTCTCGAGGGTCTGAGCCCCTACCTGCAGCATCTGTGCTAATCCGGATGGCTGGTGTCAGAATGAGTTAAACTGCAGAATACAAAACTGAGGTCTACATAGAAATAGAGAACCGCTTGATGTGGAAAACTTACATATCTACTACTAGAAACTTTGAGTACAGAGAAAGTTTTGTTACCCATAAATCTACCATTCAAATTATTAACTAGAAATGGCAAATAATGCTATAGATCCCAATGTATTTCTTGTGAATTTCTTGTGAATGTATTTCTTGTGAATCTGTCCCAATCCCCCACAGGTAAGCACTAACCTGAATTCTGTATTTGTCATTCCTTTTTTTAAAAGAATAGTTTCAGCACAGATGTAGGTATCTCCATGTAAAATAGCTTTTCTTGATTTTTAGGTGTATTAAAATTGTACAGTACTGGCTAAGAAAGTCTTCTTTCTTGATGTGGGCAATGGTTACATGGTTATATTTATTTTATGAAAACTCATCAACTACACAAATACATTCATCTCCAGATGTATACTCTATTTCAATAAAAAGTTTAAACAGAAATTATACCACATGGCAGTTTGCTTTTTCACCATTTCTAAGCTTCACTGAATTTTCTGTGAGTCGGTGAAATTCATTTAATTTTACTGCTATATGATTACTGCTGGACAATAATTTACCCTTTTTCTTGTCAATGGGTACTAAATTATTTCTAATCTTTTGGCTATCAAGAACAATACTGTTATGAACACTCTTGTGTATGTCTCCTAGTACGTCTGCATCTGAGTTTCTCTAGAAGTACAGACACAGACAAACTCTAGGTGATAAAGCACGAAAGCCTGCACCTCTACCACGTAAAAGTGAACTGGGCTCCCATGTGACTGTATCCACTTACACTCCACCAATAGTACACAAGCATTCCTGCAGGGCTGTATTTTCACCAACAGTGGGTATTATCAGATTTTAAAAAAATATTTACAGTCTAGTGGATGTAAAATGATATCTCAATATGGTCTTACTGGGCAGATATCTGATTCCTAAAGAGGCTGAGACACAGTATGCAGAATTCTAAGACAGCCCCAAGGATCTCCATCCCCTAGTGTCACTCTTTTGATTATGTTACATTACAAGACAAAAGGGATTTTGCAAATGTACTTAAGGTTTCTAATCAGTAGACCTCAAAACTGAGAGGATTATGTGAGTGGAACCAAGCTATTCACAAGAGTCTTTTAAAAGCAAAGTGTTTGGGGGTACCTGGGTGGCTCAGTGGGTTAAGCCTCTGCCTTCGGCTCAGGTCATGGCTCAGGTCATGATCTCGGGGTCCTGGGATGGAGCCCCACATCGGGGGCTCTGCTCAGGGGGAGGCTGCTTCCCCCTCTCTCTCTGCCTGCCTCTCTGCCTACTTGTGATTTCTGTCAAATAAATAAATAAAATCTTAAAAAAAAAAAAAAAAAGGCAAAGTGTTTTCTCTGACTGGTTGAAGAAGTCAGAGAAATTCAAAGTGTGAAGGAATCTGACCTAAGAGAGTTCTCCTTACTGAGCTGGAGGAGCCAGGGAGCAAGGACCCAAGACCAGCCTCTAAGAGCTAAGAGTGACCCCTGGCCAGTAACTAGTTTTAAAAAAAAAAAGGGAACTTCATCCTCCAGTAAAGAAGGATAAATCATTTTTGCAAAAAAAATGTATTCTGCCAAAAGAAGTAAGTTTGAAAGAGAACCCTGGGCTCCAGGTGAAAACAGATGGGCTAAACCTTGATTTCAGGCTGGCGGGACCCTGAGCAGAGAACCCAGTTACATCATCCCATATTCCTAACCTACAAAACTGTGAGATAATAAATGCGGATTGTTTTAAGCTACTAAATTTGTGGTAATTTGTTACAGATTAACAGAAAACTAAATGGTACATTTATTGACCATTTGGTCTCCCCACCTTTGGAAGTATCTGTTAACATCTATTGCTTATTTTTCTATTAGACTGTTTGTCTTTTTCTTTTTACTATGTAGGAAATCTTAATATATTCTAGATACTAATCCTTTGTCAGTTATTTAAATCACAAAAAAATCTCCCAGTTTATAGTTTGTCATTCTACTACTTCTTTATGGTAAACATTTAATATTTTATTTATTTCAGAGAGAGCTAAAGACAGCATAAGACGGGGGAGGGGCAGACAGAGAAGGGGAAGCAAGCTCCCAACTGCGAAGGGAGCCTGTCACTGGACTCCACCCCAGGACCCCGGGATCATGACCTGAGCTGAAGGCAGATTCTTAACCACCCAGGCACCCTATGGTGAACGTATTCTTAATTTTAACATTGACTCTATGAACGTTTTACATACAGGTATCAATTTTTTTTAAGATTTTTTATTTATTTAATACAAATAAATAAATAAATAAAATAATAAATAAAAAATCTTATTTAATACAGAGAGAGAGATCACAAGCAGGCAGAGAGACAGACAGAGAAGAGGGGGAAGCAGACTATTCGCCGAGCAGAGAGCCCGATGTGGGACTCGATCCCAGGACCCTGAGATCATGACCTGAGCCAAAGGCAGAGGCTTAACCCACTGAGCCACCCAGGTGCCCCAGGTATCAAATTTTTTTTACCGTATTTAAGAAATCCTTCTCTACTCTGGAGTCATAAAGATATTCTTAAATTTCATCCTCAAGTTCTGTTTTTCTTAATTTGTCTTCAAAGATTTTTGCTTATGATTTAAGGTAGAGTTCCAATCTCATTTTTAAATCTCTACAGGATAATGATATGGGGATTTAAAATACCTAAGTGATGTATACTGATTAATTAGCTTCCCAAAGACAATTATGTCACAGATCTAATGTTTATAAGGTACGATGTCTGAATTTGTGTTCTCTATTCTGTTGCACTGGTTGACTATTCTGTGAAAACCACACTGTCTTAATCACAACATTTTTAAATAAGTCTTGCTATATGGTAGGGAAAGTCTCCTCTCATTATCTTCAAAACTTGTGAGCTATTCTTGCTTCTTTGTTCTTGTTCCTGACTTCACACAAAATCATAAACTTTCTAAATTACCCCACCATGGGGTGCCTGTGGCTCAGTCGGTTAAGTGGCTGCCTTCAGCTCAGGTCATGGTCTCAGGGTCCTAAGATCGAGACTCACATGGGGTTCTCAGGTCTGCTTCTCTCTCCCTCTGCCCCTTCCTACCGTTCATGCACACACTTTCTCTCTCAAATAAATAAAAATTTAAAAAATATTTTAAAAAACCCATTATGATTTAAATTGGAACTACACTAAATTCATCAGTCCCTTCGGGTGAGAAATAATAGCTTCTCAATAATGACTATTCTTATCCATGACTATGGTTCTCTCTGTGCATTAATGTCTTCTTTAGCATCTTTCAAAACAGTGTTTATAATTTTCTACATAAAAATCATATTAATCAGGGCACCTGGCTGGCTCAGTCAAGAGAACATGGGACTCTTGATCTCAAGGTTTTAAGTTCGAGTCCCCTGCTGAGTACAGAAATTACTTAAAAAAAAAAAAAAGAAAATCTTAATAAAAATCATACTAATGATTTGTTAGAGAACTTTCTCTCATAAAGATAAATTCAAGTCCACAATCACTTGACATCCCAAAAGCATCAAAATCAAGGTTAATACCTTATTTTAGCAAAACTTTAACATGAAGTGATGTGAGACTATCTGGTGGATTAATTTATCCCATTTCAAATGAATAGTCACACAATGACCTATAAAAATACTAATGTTTTTAGATGATACAACAGACCTTGAGGTCTGAAGCTCCACGACATGACATATGACATATGTATATTCACTTTTCTAAAATCCAAAAAATTCCAAATACTGAAACTCATCTAGCTTAAAGGGTTCCAAACACAGGATTGTGAATTTGATGAAGTAGCTTTCCAAAATTGTTTTGCCTTTGTAGAAATGCAAGGGATTTCTATATTGATCATTTTATCAGTTCCCTTGCTGATTGTTATAATGAGCCCGTAACTCCCTGTGTTTACATAATTCAGAGGTCAGAAAATGTTTCCTGTAAGGGGTCAAACAGTAAGTATTTTAGCTTTTGCAGGCTATACAGACTGTTTCATCTACGCAACTATGCTATTACAGCATAATACAGATAATAAATAAGCGTACCACATTCCAATAAAACTAGTCATTGAAATCTGAATTTCATTTAATTTTCACAGGTAAAATATTATTCTTGTAGTTTTTTTTAATCTATTGAAAATGCTAAAATCATTATTAGCATGAAGCTGTACAAAAACAGGTGGTGAGCTGAATGCGGCCCGTGGGCCATAATTTGCCAATTCTTGGTACAAAGAATCTTAACATCTTCAAATAGTGTTTCTTCTAGTCCTTCAGCTTTTTTTTTTCTTCTGTGCAAGTTTCCCTGTTCAGTGCTGAATCAGCAACAATGATAGCATCTTTTGTCTTGTTCTTGATTTTTTTTTTTTTAAAAAAAGCTCCCACTGTTAACACATTAAAAAGAGCTTTTGCAGTTATGGTTTCTTCTATACCTAGCTTAAGAAGTGCTGGGTTTTTGTTTTTGTTTTTTTTTAAATCATGAATAGTTGTTCAATCTTAGAACTCCTCTTTCTGAATTTTTCATATGATTTATCTCTTTTTAACCATGTAAGTGTGGTAGAGACTGCTTGCTGTTTGACCACCAAATTCTAACAGAATTACAGTTGGGTATATGGCTACAGAGCTATAAAACATTTCTCAAGGTCTCCTGCAATTAGATATGGCTCTATGACTAGGTTCTCACCCACAGAACAGACAGAAGAGACAGGCCACTCCTGGGCCTCGGCATAAAACAGTGAGCATGCTTCTCTATGATTTTCCTCCCTTGTTGCTGGCTGACACCCAGACAAAGCAGTTAATTCCAAACTATTTTATGACTTTGATGCTGCTACAAATTAATTTTTTTACTTCATTTTTCAAATTTTGCTACTAGTATGTAAGAAAGGCTACTGATTTTTAAAAATACAACCTTGTGTCCAACAATCTTGCTAAGTTCAGTTATAGTTCTAGTAGCTGTTTTTCAGATTCCTGAAGATTTTCTACATAAACAATTATGCCACAGGCAAATAGAAAAATTTACTTCTTCCTTTCTGATATTTATGCCTTTTGTTTATTCTTCTTCTCTTCCTCCAACAATGCAAATTCACCCTTTGTTACCCTACCTGCTGAGTCTTTAAAGTATTCCCAAAGAGATATTCATGCCAGAAAACTCCAATAGCTATAACCAATGATTTTCTTAAAAAGATAACTGGGCAAAAGAAATATTGAAAATAAAACACCCCAATATTGCTAGATGAAATTTAAAAACACTTATGTCAAAAGGAATAAACCTTAGTCCAGACTATGTAATTATAAAGCTAAGGAAAATCATACACACTCCCTTGAATTAAAAAAAAAAAAAAAAAAAAAAAAAAAAAAGACTATATAATATCAACTCAGTATCACTAGCATCAAAGCTAGAATTATGAGAAAATTAATGCACGGGTCCTTCCAACCTCTCACTGCTTCCTCCTGTAACAAGATGTTACTGTATACTGAGCAGTGAATATGCACAAAGTTCAACCAATTCTCACCAAACTCCCTTAAGTAACTAACTGTCTCCATTTTTTTATAGGAGGAAATTAAGAATTGGAGAGTCTGAAGTAACCAATCAAAAGTCACGGGGTAGGGGGTGGGGATGGCGCCTGGGTGGCTCAGTGGGTTAAGCCGCTGCCTTTGGCTCAGGTCATGATCTCAGGGTCCTGGGATCGAGTCCTGCATCCAGCTCTCTGCTCAGCAGGGAGACTGCTTCCTCCTCTCTTTCTGCCTGCCTTTCTGCCTACTTGTGATCTGTCTGTCAAATAAATAAATAAAATCTTAAAAAAAAAAAAAAAAAGTCCAGAGGGGAAGCGCAGAGCCAGGATATGAACTAAGACAGTTTAGCTCCAGAACCCACGAATTCCCATCTTCACTGCAATGTTTCCTCTACCTCTTCTTCACTGGCTCAGAGTACTTCATTGAGGCCACATTACTCTGAAACAAGCAACAGCGTTATCAGTGCCTTTTTCTTCCCAATGACTCTACCATGACATTTTGCCTTGTTTCAAAAGGAAATTAATGCTACTGATATTTTATTAACTACGTAGTGGTAAAAGTAAAATACACTTACTGGTTTCGGCATTTTTCTTCTCTTTTTATCACCTTCTTCAAAAAATTTCACTTTTATGAATTCTGATGTCACCTGCAGTTACAGAAAAAAGAAAGCATAATACATCTATTACTTTTATATAATATCTTGATGTTAATAATTATAATTGTGAGTTTAACACAGAGCTCTCTAAAAATAAAAAATTTAAAAAAAGAACTCTCTTATTCTAATTTTCAATGTCTTTTATATGATTTCACCTTTTCTAAAAATATTTATAGCTGTGATTTAAAACAGCACGTATCTCAAACAACATAATCTAAAGCCTACCGGTCACCAACCAAAAATTTCAATTTACTCAGAGACTACACATAGCAACGAATCAAGACTGCTAAGGACCCAAATGCTGTCTCTGTCTGTGTTCAGTTCACCTCTACATCCAGCCTGGGAGAGGAGAGAACAGTAAAGGGGGAGACACAGATTCAAGTTCAAAAGAGATGAACTCAAGAATACTTTTCAACCTTTCTTCTGTACTGACAAAGACAAAAGGAAATTCTGATTAACATAAACTCTAAAAAGATAACCTTTTAAAGAAAATTATTTTTCTTCTTGAAAGTTTAAAAATCCACATTAAAATATACTGAGTAGTTTATTTACCTAAGGTGTATTAAACAGCCAAAGAGTACACACTAGCAATCTACATGCTACTCACCAGCAAACTGATGGCCTTCACTGAAATTTAGAGTTGTCCTTGAGGCCAATGTTAAATTTTATCTTGTAAAGCAAAACAAGTGAATCCTAATCCAAGAAATCCATCATGCGATATTGTCTTAGGGTAAATGTTCTTAAAGACAGCTAACAAACCAACAGAAGGATCTAACATTCTTAATCTTTACTAGTTTGTTCATAAAAAAATGACCTATTATTTCAATTTGAAAACCTTCAATAAGGTATATTAAATTACTTGAAAATCAGCTTTCGCTGATAATATCTCTGCCCAGAAAATTCATCCATTATACTAGCATCAACTAAATTAATATATAATTGTTCTAAAACTTCAGTGTCAATTGCTTTTTAATGTTACAATAAACCAGAAAATTCTCCAAATTAAAAAAAAGTGAAACATCATTTCCCTACATTTTACTCAATCATGTGCCAAAGAGACCTCTCTTTAAAAGAAACTTTCACGGGAGATATTTATCTAATAATTGAGCTCTGAAATTCATTCCCTTAAGTCTTAGCTAGGAAATCTTAACACTCCCTCCTACAGTCAGTCACCTGCTTTCATGAACCTAAACTGTACTTGAGACCTATCTTCTCTTTATCTTTTCACCCCACTACTATCTTAATTCATCCTTATCATCTCAGGTCTTAAAACATCCTCAAAACTGAACTTTTCACATTATTTATAAGTTAGTAATTCTCAAATCTGTATTTCTAGAACTTGCTTGGCTAACTTGCCTTGCTCAATGTCTAGATTATCTCAAATGTAACATGGCCAAAACAGCTAAATCTCTATCCTATAGCAAAATCTGCTTTTCTACAAGTCTTGGTGACATATTTCTAGAAAGTTATCACACGGTTTCCTCATGATTTTTTGTATTTACTATGTTGGCAGTCACAATCTTCTATTAATATTCCTAATACTATTAAATTTTCCCTTCCCTTTTGCCTGATTAATCTTGCCAGAAGTTTGCTTAGTTTATTGGTCTAAAGGCCAGCTTTTAGTTTCCTTGATCTTCTGTTTCTTTTACTGTTCTTTTTTTGTTAATTTCTTTTTCCTCATGACTTTTCTTTTCGTTAGTTGGCTTTACTCTGTGGCTCATTTTCTAAGCCCTAAAATTTAAACTTTAAGTAATTCCCAATTTTTTTTCTTTTCTAGTATGTGCATCAAGGTCATAAATATGTCCAAGTATAAGGCAGCTTCATACACAAAGTATCCCCCCATCGTGTCCAGAACATTTTAAAATAACTTTTATCATTTGAATATATCAAGGATGTAGGTATAACATTCGTATACTTAAATATTAAAAAACATGATCTTTATAACATATTGAAACAATACTTTTTCCTTCATCTATTTCACAGAACATAGAAGTTCTTTAAATTCGTCACACAAATGAGGCAGATTATACAAGTACTTTCTATAAGTATTTTATATATTATAAAATATATAAATTAATACTATTATATAATAGTATATAATATTATTACTAAAAATTTATCCCAAACCACACTATTCATTCATATAAAACACTGGGAATTTTCTTTTCCTATTTGTACTGTTAGAATATATTTTAGTATCTGTAGTGTAACCACTGTATTTTTCTTTTAAAACCAGATCTGTTCTAGATTTGCTTTTTTTTTTTTTAATAAATGCTTAAACCACTACCAAATGAACTCTCTAAGTTTTCCAAACTCACATGTACCAAAAGCATTTCAGGTCACTGTGCCTGTTTTAGAACAAAGCAACAACAGAGTTCCTAAAAACACAAATATAAATCTCCTTTTCCAGGATTTTTTTTTTAAATGTCTCACCTTATATTTAAAACCATAACATTTTTCTGAGCAAAATAAGTCAATCAGAGAAAGAAAATTATCATATGATTTCACTCATGTGGAATTTAAGAAAAATAGAGGATCATAGGGGGAAGGGAGGGAAAAATAAAGCAAGACAAAATCAAAGAGGGTGAGAAACCCCAAGAGATTTTTAACTCTAGGAAACAAACTAAGGGTTGCCAGAGGCAAGGTGGGTGGAGGGATGGAGTAACTGGGTGATGGGCATGAAGAGGGGCACATGATGTAATGAGCACTGGGTGCTTTATGCAACTGATGAATCAATGATCTCTTCCTCTGAAACTAATAATATACTGTATGTTAATTAACTGAATTAAAATAAAATAAATATCATTTTTCTAAGTATCACTTTAGTGGTTTCCCACACAGGTTTTTTATATACAGTTATTTCATTGGCTCTGCACGTTTCCCTTTCCAGTTTTGATCTCTAATATGACTAAGAAACTTTTTTTAACTTTCAGATGGAATAGGTCTGGAACAAAGTGTTTTTTATTATTTACTTCTGACTTTACTATACCATAGTCAAAGAGTTCATTCAGACTTCCTTTATGTTTAGTACATAATTTCATTTCTAACTTTCTGCCTATAAATGACAATAATGTATGTTTTGCGTTTGATAAGCTAGATCAAGCCAGACCAAGTACTTAATGTTTTGTTTAGAGTTTCCCTACTGTTGCTCATTTTAGTCTACTTAAGCAACTTGAGAAAAAAATGTATTAAATTTTCCCAGGTAGGACTGTGCATGTTAATTTCTTCTTATACACTGTCACTTTTTAATTTATTTATTTTTTAAGGCTATGCTATTAGGTGAGTACAGGCTTAGAACTGTTACATTTCTCCAGTGAATACTTCCCTCTTCCATAAGGTAATAATTCAACTGCATGTAGAACTCTTAAATTGACTGTTGCTCCCTCAGGATTTGGAGGACAGGATTGTTCTGGCATCTGTTACTGCTGATGTGTTATCTACAGTTAATCTAACTCAGTTCTCTGAGATAATCTGCCTTTGCTTTCTGCTTCAAGGAACTTTCTGGGAGGCATTCTTCGGATTTGCTTTTATTTATTTTGTTCAGGATTTGGTAAGCTTTTCCTTATTCTGAAGATGTATGCTTTTCTTAAATTCTGGAAAATTATTAGCCATTGTCTCTCTCTCTCTCTCTCTCTCTCTTTTCATTCAGCAATTCTCACTGGATACATAATACGTATTTTATTCTCTAGTCCAAACCTACTTTTTTATATTTTCCAGCTCTTTTATCTCTCTCTGCAACATTCCTCGAATCACTAATTCTCTCCAGTTGTTTTTAATGTTTTACCTCTTCAGTAGTTCAGCATTTTGGTAATTATATATTTTTACTTCTAGAAATTTTTTCAGCTATGTAAAAGAATTTAATAATGCTATGCTATTTTATAATTTGTTTTAAATCTTCCTTTGATCCCTATGTTTATTTTTTTAAAGGTTTTATTCATTTTATTTGACAGAGAGAGATCACAAGTAGGCAGAGAGGGAGGCAGAGAGAGAGGAGGAAGCAGGCTCCCCACTGAGCAGAGAGCCCATGCGGGGCTCAATCCCAGGACCCTGAGATCATGACCTGGGCTGAAGGCAGAGGCTTAACCCACTGAGCCACCCAGGTGCCCCTTTATGTTTATTTTTTGTCACCACAAAATTTTCCTGTTTTCAGTTCATTATGGTTTATTTCTTTATAGAGTTTGTAATTTTGGACAGAAAACTTATGTCCCTAACCCATTAAGCAATGTAGTAGTCCTGCAAGCCCTGAGTTTTATACATGTAGCCTACAAAGCTAATTCAGGTTTGCTCATACCAGAGTATTAGGAATTTTTTTAAATCATTTTTAATTTTTTTTAAAAGATTTTATTTATTCATTTAAGAGAGAGAGAGAGCGCACAAGCAGGGGGAGCAACAGAGGGAGAGGGAGAAGCAGGCTCCCTGCTGAGCAGGCTCCATCCCAGGACCTGGAGATCATGACCTGAGCGGAAGGTAGATGCTTAACCATCTGAGACACCAGGTGCCCCTAAAAAAAAATTTTTTTTTCTTGATTTGGGGGTGATGGGTTCAAGCCCCACACTGGGTGCAGAGATTACTTTAATTAATTAATTAATTGATTTTTAAGGAGTTTTAATTGTCCTCTGCTAATTTTTACCTTAACTTCTCATTCTGTATTGCATTACCATATCTGACCCCAAAGCTACACACTAAAGAAGTTAGATGACACTCAGGAGAGCTTGCACAGGCACCAATCATGTTATTTATTAAACCACATGCCTGCTGCATCCTTCCTGTGCAATCTCATCAGTAAGGAAGAACAAGGGAAAGAAAGCAAGAACTATATGCCAGAGTATGTAAACAAAGTTAAAGCACTCAAGTTATAGAAAAAGTAGTTAGCAAACACAGAGTAAATAAATATCAAGTATGTAGGTTTGCAGAAATTCTGAAGTTATAGGTTGATCTAATACTGGAATGAAACAGAGGTAGGTTTTTCTTTTTTTCCTTTTCCTTTAAAAAATGATTTATCCAAGTTTTCAATACTAGAGTTACTTCAAGTTGTACTCTTTATAAAAAGGACCAGAACCTTTCAAGAAAAAAAAATTAAAGCTTTAGGTTTTATAAGAGAGCTCTGAAGACATAAAAGAATAAGGGTATCATAGGCCAACACACACAAAACCAGGTTTTTTACACAAGTGAACTAAGCTTTCAAAATCTCCAACAAACCTGGGGCGCCTGGGTGGCTCAGTGGGTTAAGTCTCTGCCTTTGGCCCAGGTCATGGTCTTAGGGTCCTAGGATCGAGTCCCGAACTGGGCTCTCTGCTCAGCAGGGAGTCAGCTTCCCTCTCTCTCTCTGCCTGCTTGTGATCTATCTGTGTGTCCAAAAAAAAAAAACAAAAACAAAAACAAAAACAACAACAACTCCAACAAACCTAAGCCAACCATATGAACTGTGGGGAGTTGCGGGGTGGTGGCTAACAAAAGCCTCCATCAATAAGGATGTGGTGGATATCTAAAAATTCATGTTTTTATGTTTGTTTCTCAGAAAATACTGTTTCTCTCTTAAAAATCAGGTTAATCTCCACCTTGTTTTGTTCTGTTTTTAAAGATTTATTTGACAGAGAGAAAGAGAGTTTCAGTGAGCACAAGTAGGGAGTACAGAGGAGGGAGAAGCAGGCTCCTTGCTGAGCATGGAGCTAGAGCAGGGCTCGATCTCAGGACCCTGGGATCATGACCTGAGCTGAAGGTAGACATTTAACCAACTGAGCAACAATGCCCTGTACTTAGAGAAGACTCCACAGTTGTGTGCTCTTATACATTAATTCTCTACTAACAAAAATCCGAGAAGATCAGACTGGTCACATTATGGCTATTTTATAGTTAAGAAACAAGGACAACTGCATGAAGATTTCTTGTTCTCAGTCACGCAGATAATCACTGGCCAAAGAGTCTTTTGACACCTATCCTAGAGTTCAGAGGTCTACTATATACTCACCTGTCTTCCCCTATTGGATATTTAAAAAGTACTCGTGGAAATTTACCCGAAGAAAATAATAAATGTGTACAATGATAGAGCTGCAAAGATTCTAGTTACAGTGTTATTTATACAAGTGTATATAATACTGAGATATTAGTTAAGTGAACCATGGTATACCTATAGGTTCTGCTAGACTTCAATGCAGCCCATCAAAATGTTACAGAAAAATATTAAATGACATGGGAACATACCCACAAACTACTAAAAAGGCAGGTTATAAAACCACACATACAGTATCATCACATTTCTTTTTTTAAAGTATTAATGTAAAGACTAGTATGATTATACCCCAAAATATCAAGTCTCTATGAATTAACATGAATTTGTAAATTTCTAAAATGAAAAAGTAGAGCTTTTGTAATAAGAAAAACACTTTCTTTAAAATAAGAGAACAAAATTATTCCAATAAACTGAAGTCAGACCTAGAAATTCACCATAATATTTAATAAAATCTAAGTAGATGAATCTTTTTTCAAAAAGAGAATTTAAAAATTTAACTTTTTGAGGAAAATAATGACTAAGATATATACCTTATGATGAAAATAGATTAATATATTTTATTTAAAATCCGTAGACCCATGAACAAAATAAATAGCAAAATAAAAGTGATGGAATAGAAAAATATCCAATAGTCATTACAAAAAGTTACTAAGGAAAGTAAATAATATATATAAAAATATCACTCAGACCCCACTCAGTAAATGGTTAAAACACAAACTCTCTACAAACTCTTTACAAAATAAACACACAACTGTGCTGATTTAAATCACAAATCAAAATGGCATTAAGGTATTACTGATTATATCTCATTAAACTAGCAAAATAATTATTAATTACACATTCCAATGCTGATGAAGCAGTACTGCTAAACAAGTAGATAAATACTGCTGGTAGGACCATAAACTGGCTCAGTATTTCTAATAAATAAGTTGTCAATATTAACAGAAGCTCAATTTTTTTCTGAAAAGGAACTTCTCCTTCTGGAATAGGCCCCCAAAAAATAAAGAAATACAAAAGAAAGTAATCTGTAGCAAGATATTCTCAGCAGTACTCATTATAAAAGCCAATGATTAAAATTACAATGTTGAGGGCGCCTGGGTGGCTCAGTGGTTAAAGCCTCTGCCTTCCGCTTGGGTCATGATCTCAGGGTCCTGGGATCGAGTCCCGCATAGGGCTCTCTGCTCAGCAAGGAGCCTGCCTCCTCCTGTCTCTCTCTGCCTGCCTCTCTGCCTACTTGTGATCTGTCAAATAAATTAAAAAAATAAAAAAATAAAAAATAAAATAAAATTACAATGTTGAAACTCTGATAACATGATGGACTATTACAGGTTTTCTCTGTATTATGACAAATTGTATAAACATTTACATTAGGATAAGTGATTATGTAACCATTCATTTTAATTATGTAAAATGCAGGTATCCTTACAAATATCTTGATATACAGAAGTGGCCACTTTATAATCAGGGTCTTATTTTCTAAATTGGTTATATCTCAGTTTAGGAGCTTATATGACATATATAAGAATCCCACCTTAGGGACGCCTGGGTGGCTCAGTTGGTTAAGCGGCTGCCTTCGGCTCAGGTCATGATCCCAGCACCCTGGGATCGAGTCCCACATCCGGCTCCTTGCTCGGCAGGGAACCTGCTTCTCCCTCTGCCTCTGCCTGCCTCTCAGCCTACTTGTGGTCTCTCTCTCTCTGACAAATAAAAAAAAAAAAAAAAAAAAAAAGAATCTCACCTTAAATTTTTTTAGGATCCTGCTGTGTTTTTAGTTATTACTGAAAAATATATATTTTAGTATGTATGTGTATTATGTATATGTAAATATGTATTTAGTTATTACTGAAAAATATATCATAACACTTAACACTAATATAATATTTAACCTCAGTAATACATTTCTAATCCTTGCATGATTGCATTAGTATGTTTTTTCTTTTTTCCTGAAACTACCATTTGTTAGTACCAGAATGGACAATTTAATAAAATGTCACATAAAGAGCTAAGATACCAAGACAACCAAGATACATGTCTTTGGTTTCCATCTCTAACTGATTCATCTTGAAATCACTGTCTTTCAGAGTCTTCCTTTCTTTCTTTTCTTAAAAAAAAAAAAAAAAGATAATACACAATGACCTAAACCATTGTATATCAGAGATACTTAATACAAATCAACTCTTCTCCCATCTGTCCTCATAATACATAATTACGGAGAAAAAATTTACTCCCTCCTCCCTACTCTTGCTAAATTTTTTAAAGTGGTCTTACCCTACACCTGTCTGCCATACTGACTCCCCAGAAGCAAGGAAGCACAAACATGGCAAAGACATACTCAACAAGTAGGTTTTTTTTTTTTTTAAAGATTTTATTTATTTATTTGACAGACCGAGATCACAAGTACGCAGAGAAGCAGGCCGAGAGAGAGGAGGAAGCAGGCTCCTCGCTGAGCAGAGAGCCCGATGCAGGGCTCAATCCCAGAACCCTGGAATCATGACCTGAGCCGAAGGCAGAGGCTTTAACCCACTGAGCCACCCCAGGCGCCACTCAACAAGCAGTTTTAAAAGATGCTACGAGCATACACATTTCCCATTGCCAGAAAATTAACTGTATGGTTATGTACTCTAAATACAATGTTTAGGGGTGCCTGGGTGGCTCTGTTGGCCAAGCATCTGCCTTCCACTTAGGTCACAATCCCAGGGTCCTCGGATGGAGCCCCACATCTGGCTCTTGGTTCAGCAGGGAGCCTGCTTTTCCCTGTTCCAGCCACTCCCCCTGCTTGTACTCTCTGTCAAATAAATGAATTAAAATCTTAAAAAAAATAAACAAACACAACGTCTACAGATAAAGCATTTATATGAACCATTCTCTTCTTTGTCCTTTAACTCTGAGGGTGACCCTAAAACCTTCTCTCTACCACAAACAATGGAAAAACAGCCTCAAGCTAAACACCCTGAGCTCTATTAAGTCAGTGGTACAACAGACTCTTCCCACCTGCCAGGTGGTAAAACAGGTGTTAAGTCTAATCCATACTGGCCTATACTGAAGCTTCAATAATTTATACCACACTGCCTAATTTTACTCTTAAGATCTTCTTTTCCTCCATGCCTAACTATAAATTTTTTCCTGTCTTTTGAGACACAGAAGCTATCTCTGAACCAACTCTGATTTCTCCACAGACCAAAAAGTTACAAAAGAATTCCTTTGCCAATTTACTGGGGAATTAGGAAGCAGTGTGACAAAGAGAAATATAAACTAAATTAATAAGGTAACTCTGGCAGTCAAAAACCAACACAATAACAACATCTACAATAAAAAAGTTCTTAATCACTTTTCCCCTGGACGGGCCCTTCGGTGAAGCTTGTGAAGCGTTTCCTAGAAAAGCATTTTAAAATGCGCAAAATAAAATACATTAACATTGCATAATTCCAATTATATTGGAATGCAATTATCAAAATATTAAAATCACACATTTATGACACAGTAATATCTGTGCTTAATTAATCCTTAAATAAAAGTATTTACAAGTGGAGCTAATGATTAAACTTCTAAGTAATGATGAGTTTATTTCTCTAACAGTAACAGACTATGAAAATATCTACAATTTCTATTGGTAGTACTGCTAATACTACCAGTTCCCCACATTAATAATGGAAGAAAACATGTTAAAAAGATGCAACTTTTTTCTCTATCCAAGTTCACAAACACAGGCTTAAAACCTCTACTATACACAGAACTATTTATCGTATTTTCAGCTCAGTGTTAATACTGAATTTAATAGCAATATTAATGCACCTTTAGCTATATAATGCCATGTCATTTCCAAAATGAAGCAAAAAGGGCAAAAAAATTTTAGCTCCATTATGCAAATTAAGGGCAAAACCAAGGAGAAGGCTTGTGAATGAATAAAGTATCCGTAGAATACTCGCTCTCCAGCCACTTTTACATCTATTACCTAATCTTCATAATAACTACTCACTTCCCTCTGCCCAAGATAGGTAGATACCACAATCCCTCATTCTTTTAATAAGGAATTTAAGATTTAGATAAATGACCTGCCCAAAGTAATAAAGCTAGTTAACCATCAGAGGTCGTCCTTTTAAACCCTAGTCCTAGGGCTCTTCTGGCTTTCCTATTCTGCCTTTTTTCTGACCTCATTCTAGCTAAGCTCATCTCAAACAATTTTAAGAGCTTTTCAAAAAGCTAAAGCTCATTCTTCTGTTGTTTTCAGGTCAAAAGACTACCTCTAAAGACATTATAAGTACAGGTTAATATTGGTATAATCACAGGGCACCTGAGTGGCTCACTTGGTTAAGCGTCCAACTCTAGACCTCAGCTCGGGTCTTGATCTCAGGGTTGTGAGTTCAAGCCCACACCCAGCAAGGAGCCGACTTAAAAAATAATACTGGTATAATCACCTCTGTAAATGGGTTTCCTGTAAGGGTGATATGCAGTTCCAAATAAGGTATTAAGTACTTGCTTATGTAGAAAGTGATTTTTGTTCAAAGATATTTTCAAGGAAATGAAATATTCAGTATTTTTGAGCAATTTTACATGCTCCTGAAAATGCAAAGCAAATTTCTAAAACTTAAAATATAAAGCAGAATTGCAGTATTAAAAACAAAAGCTTCGGGGCGCCTGGGTGGCTCAGTGGGTTAAAGCCTCTGCCTTCGGCTCAGGTAGTGATCTCAGTGTCCTGAGATGGAGCCCCGCATCGGGCTCTCTGCTCAGCGGGAAGCCTGCTTCCTCCTCCTCTCTCTCTGCCTGCCTCTCTGCCTACCTGTAATCTCTCTCTCCGTCAAATAAATAAATAAAATCTTAAAAAAAAAAAAAAAAAAAAGCTTCACACTGAATTCAGATTCTCTTCTAAAAGAAATCTGTAAATCCAAAGGAACACCTTATCTATATTGTTCCCAAGGTGGGTAGAAAAACAATACATTACCATTTGCATCGATAAATTTTAAACACTAAAAGCTAAGAAAGCTAAATCCAGTCCAAGTACTTCATTTAACACTTACGAAAACACCAAAAACTAATACAGTAAGTCTTCAAAGATGTGAAAACAGATTCATGGAAGTCACATTTGCAGCAGGAAAGAAGCAAAGTTCCAAAATGATCTGAATTCTCACATGTAATTCTACGCTTTATAGGTTTCCAAACACCGGACTTTAAAGCAGCTTATTTTCAAGACGGAATAAAGTAATTATGTTTCTTAAATATCTCTTAAATTGGACAAAACTCTCTCATGCAGTCAATAAGGCTATATGGCAGTTCTACCATTAAGCTTCTAATTTTCAAGATATTCAAATCACCCTTTTAGAAACTGGAATGCTACCTGGCTCACAGTAGGGCCTCAGAAGTTCATTAGTGATTTTGCTGAATTAAGTTCACATGTAATATTCAATTGTCTTTTGCTGTTGATTATTGTCAAGGGCAATATTTTCCTCTCATTTACGCTATAAGATGACCAAACAATATTAATAAGCAACACACTACAAGAGAAGCAAACATGAACATGGGGGAGAAAAAAACTCCTCCCAACTAGGTCTCCTAAGTTCAGGACTCTATCATCTCTATTCAAGACTCTTATCAAATTAAAGGCCAGATAATTTGACACTTTTAACAGTAACTAAAATTATCATGCTGGTTGTTGATTAGATGAAGGTAACGAGCTCTTTGGGTACATATATACCAACTTTGCCAAATAACCAAACTCAAATTTTATAGTTTCTCTAAGTCTAGAGTCTACAAATGTCTTAAATATCAGCAGTCCAGACGATGGCTAACAAAGTTTAATCTGCCCCACACACTCAGTAAAAGCCAAACGGTTCCAGATTCAATTGAGCATGGCTGACATTTCCTGTACCCCCATTCTCCCTTTTATCTGTTGCACTCACGTGCCCGCCTCATTCCATACACTAGCCAGGATTTTTGGTTATAAACAACACCTATTCAACTTATTGAAAGTTATTAGTTGGGCGCCTGGGTGCTCAGTGGGTTAAGCTGCTGCCTTCGGCTCAGGTCATGATCTCCGGGTCCTGAGATCGAGTCCTGCATCGGGCTCTCTGCTCAGCAGGGATCCTGCTTCCCTCTCTCTCTGCCTGCTTCTCTGTCTACTTGTGATCTCTCTCTGTCAAATAAATAAATAAAATCTTTAAAAAAAAAAAAGGTTATTAGTTAACGTACACAAACAGTAGGAAAATTTTAAAAATAAAGTAGGAAACAACACTCAAATCTCACATCACAGAAGACTCTGCTTAGAACACTGATGTACTGAATCTTAACTCCTTTTCCTACATACAAGAGCATTTAGGCAGTGACCACGCTTTATAGTACAGCACATCTCTATTACCATTAGTGTGAAGTTCTCAGTATCTTACTCCCCAAATACAGAGAGTATTTGGCACAGAAGTAGAGATGTACCTTTGTTATCTTAAAGTCGGCAACTTTATCCCTAAAGGGCCAGGTAAAGGGGCACCTGGGTGGCTCAGTATCATAAGCATCTGCCTTCAGCTCAGCTGATGATCTCGGTTCTGGAATCAAGCCCCGAATCAGGCTCCTTGCTCAACAGGGAACCTGCTTCTCCCTCTCCCTCTGCTGCTCCCCCTGCTGGTGCTCTCTCTCTGCTCTGTCTCTCAAATACATAAATAAAATCTTTAAAAAGGGAGGAGCAAGTAAATAAACTTCTTAGGTTTTCCAAGGCCATATGGTCTCTGCTGCAACAACTCTGCTGTTGCAGCATGAAAGCAGCCATAGATAATATGTAAACAAATGTACTACTGTGTGTTCAAATAAAACTTTATAAAAATGGAATAGGCTGCATTTGGCTAACAGGCCACAGTTTGTCAACCCCTGCCTTCGGAGTATTATAGCAGAGATCAATGCTTTTGATTTCTTAATTTAAATAAATTTAGTACCCAAGAAGATAGGAACTGACATATTCATGCCAGATTATGTACAACAGATCAGTATTGGATGTGACTTTGGGTGGGGAGCAAGAAAGAATTCAAAACACTTGGTATATGAATAAGGAAAACAATCTAGTAGGAGGAGAATCATAAGAAAGGGCAATCCCAAGGGGCACCTGGGCGGCTCAGTGGGTTAAAGCCTCTGCCTTCAACTCAGGTCATGATCTCAGGGTCCTGGGATCCAGCCCCGCATCGGGTTCTCTGCTCAGGGGGGAGCCTGCTTCCTCCTCTCTCTCTGCCTGCCTCTCTGCCTATTTGTGATCTCTCTGTCAAATAAATAAATAAAATCTTAAAAAACAAAAACAAAAACAAAAAAGAAAGGGCAATCCCATTACCCTTACCAGTGACTAGCTAGGTATGGAATAATATATCCCAATCCCAGCCTATGCGACTAAGAAGACATCTGTTGGGGGGTTTCTGGAAAGGAGAGTCCTTCTCATTCCTCTGAGCACTGCAGTATGGATGGCATGCGAGTCCTGCTGAGCCAGACTGTAACAAGATGTAACATATAAAGGTTAAGGGGGAACACCACAGAGCAGAGAACTGTAAAGAGGAGTCCTTGATGTCATTACTGAGCTATTCTTGAGCCTCCAGACTTTATTATATAAGATCATACATTTCCTCAGTATTTAAGCCAGGTTGAGAATTTTCTATTATTGAGGCCAAAGTATCTTACGTGACAGAAGTCCTTGAAAAAAGATTGCTCACTTCACAGTTTCATTGCAGCTAGTCTTATTAAACTTCAGCTTTCCACAAACTAAAGAAATATTTAAGGTCCCGAAAGCCCATAGAGATTACCTACAACTCAGAAAAAACTATCCGTTACACTTACTGATACTAAAATTTTGTAACTTTACAAATTCTATAATCATGGGGGGAAAACAAAACAATGTGCTACCTCCTTCTTTGATACTGTACCTAAGACATTCCTTCAACAAGGTTTCTTTCCTCTCAGTCAGTGGTTGGCAAACTTTTTCTGAAAACTTTAGGTTTTGCAAAATATATGGCCTCTGACATTACAGCTCACAAAAGCAGTCATATATAATATGTAACCAAATGGGATTTCTATGTTCCAATAAAACTTCATTTACAAAATCAGGAAAGCAGGCCAGATCTGGCCTGCCAACTAGTTCGTTGACCTCTCCTCTAAATGACTAACAGCAAAGACAGTATCTGTCTCAAACAAATCAACTTGACTAAACTCAAAAACAGTTTATTTCAAATGTATATAAATTAGGTAGAAAAGTAACCCAGCATGCCTTGAGCATTCTACTCAAATACATTAGAGTGCTTGATGTAAAAAAAAAAATAAAAAGTCATTATCTTACTGTAAATATAACATCTGCAAAATGCAATTTAGAACTGTTATAGAGTAATACATATTACAACAGAAAAAACAATACAAAACATGATATGCAAATTTATAACATCTACCTATTGAATAAAACTAAGTATTTTAAATTAGTAAATCTAAAAGTATTTCTATACTGGTTATTCAAAGAAAAAAACTATACAACTCGTAACCTGACCGAACCCTTCTTTTCCAGGAAGCTGAAGCTAGAGTTCAGTATTAAATGCAATGAGGAAAGAAGTAAATCCTATGGACTATATTTCCTTTCCAAACAGTTCCTAATATAAAGACACGTATTTTTAAAAGACACCACTTTCCACTACCAATCATATGCCATACTCTAGGGAGAAAACAAAAAATGAACTTCACCTTCCATCATTAAGCAAGAAAATTTGCACAAGCACGTAAACACACTTTGAGATTATAGGAAATCACACTGTGTGATTTCATATAGGAAATCCCATTGTGTGATTTCATTCAACTGATAAGAATCTGAGAAACATTAATGTTCAACACAGTAATAAATAAATACCCTTTCAAAGTTTGTTACAAAATAACCTTGTTTTTATAGACTTTAAAAATCACAAATATGAGATAAAGTATAGGTTAAAGTATAGGTTCATCCTTGCGTAAGTATTGTCATTTTCCATACAGAAGGAAGTGCTAATATCAATCAATCACTTACGAAAAACATGATGGAAAACAGGTGGGGGGGTAGTTCTGGGGAGTGAAGAGACTTTATTTTCCCTTTACATCTTTCTAGATTTTTAAAGTTTGTCATAAAGTGTATTACTTTTATAGTCTTTACAAATGGTTTAATATTTATGTTCAACAGAAATTAAAATAAAGAAATATACCAAGAACTAAAATAAGTAAGAAAAGCAGGATTCTGTGAAAGAGGCTAAAAACTAAGGACCTCTCTGGTCAGACTGGACACTTCGATCATGGAAGAGGGGAGCTTCACTGATTGCAAAAATAAGGGACGATCCCGAAGAACCTCAGCCATCAGTAACAACACTGCAAGGCTTAAAATAACCTTGTAAGAGGGGAGTCCACAGCAACTCAACCCAGGTCCCCCGAGTCCATCACCCCAAGGGTACTATTGGGGTAGTTACCAAGTGTCCATTAGCTTTTGGTCTGCAGGAGGCGCAACCCTCCGAAGACTGGGGTGCCTTCCTTGAGTTCCCAGATTCACAGAAGTAGCATAAAATTATGTTAGCTTTACCCTATCAGGTATGCGCCACTGGCACAACTCAGTCTCTCAGTCTTCACAATCTTCATAGGACACATTTTTTTTAGGCTTTGGTCTTTGGGAAACATCGGTTAAAATTTGCCGTTTTTAAATGGCCTAAGTTAAAATGCATTAAATTAAAAATGGATGAAAAAACAAGATTCCCACCGTCACTCCACACTGGAGACTCTAATTAGACTCTACACAAATTATATTAAAAGATTAAGAACTGAAATTAAAATAAAAATATATAAAGACTTCATTTCAACAAACTGCCAAAGATAAAAATGAATAAAATCTAATTCTGCTCTTCGCAATGGTAAAGCAATCAACAAGAAACAACCCTTGCTCCCCTCCCTGAGACTACGGACAGTGAGAGAAAAGCAAAGTCTGTCATCTCTTACCACCAAAGGAAAAAGAATAATCAGTTTAAGTTCCAGTTAAGTAAGGACAATCTCTAAAACAAAAGACAGACTCAACATACTTTACCCACACCAAAATTAATTATCTTCTTCTACAAATATTTCTAAGTCTCTCCTACACACTCTTCCATGTGTAGGGCTACAGGCGGGAACAAAACAATGTATAATCCACAAGAGCAAGAATTTAACATTTCTAAATGCCATAATCAAATTTTGCCTCATTGAAATAAAACTGTAAAGAACTGCAATGCATATCTATTCATTCCTTAATAATAATATATCAACTGCTTGTTAAATTCCATCCTACATAAAAAAGTGATTAAGCAAAGAAATAAAATCAGTACAATCCTTTTTTAAAGCATTATTATTAACTTCAAAAGGAGTGTTCTACCCTTTGTCATTTGTCACATTTTTATCATATTAGTCTCTGAAAGATAAAACACACTGGAGTTCTGAAAATTAAAAAAAAATATTTAAAAAATAAAAAAAAAAGTGCAATCCTGAATATTAATCTCTTCTCAAATCTAATAATGCTGTTTTGGGCAATGGATTAGGCCATTATTTATTTACCCAGCCAAATGAACGGGGCAATTGTTCATTCAGAGCTCTGTCTGAAATATAAAAGAGTATTTAGTGTCCTAAAAAATGTATGCTTCCTAAACAATAGATCGCAATGTGGATGTCCAAGTACTCCTGTATCAAATAAACCCTTATTATCGTCGACTTTTACATTTGCATCCTGCCAGCCTTAGTGCCACAGGACTGATTAAAACGTCCTCTACACATTCTCAACTCTCTATTTAAATTTATCTCTGGTGAAACTGACTTCACATTTCCAATCTCATTAATCACCACCACTCCTTAAAGGCGGGGGTGGGGGGGGGGGAATAACCAAATACTGAAGAATCCTGCCATACCTGTATAGGAAGTGATGCGCGTTACTAAAACGGACATAACGGAGCGCCCCTCTTTCGCAGTGAGCCCGGAAATGAAGTTGAGAAGCCTTCCCGGGAGGCGGGGGGGGGGGGGGGGGGGGGGGGGG